TGGAAAAAATAAGCGGAATGGATACTTGTCTGCACGAATTTTCACATGAGAATTCAAAGAATAAGCAGTGGAACTGGTTGCAGGTCTATGAAGGCGACGAGCACAAACCAAAAATCGTAATACATCCAGCAAATGAGGCCGAAGACGATATGTTACCTGCACAGTCAACTATGCCGAGGACACCGCGACCACCCAGTACGCCTCGTCCCCCACGGAAACAGTTCACCTAAACTACTGATTGCAGTATTGTTTTAGTGTTATTCCTCAGCATGTGCATGTTTTTTTTTCCTTTTATTATTTTTTATGTCCAAAAAGTGAATTTTTTTTAAATATGCCCACTGTGCAGTATAGTGATTTTAAATTTGCCCTTCCATGTCTACAATATACAGTAAAATCCACAGAATTTTTATCATCTGGTAATACATATGGCATATATATGACGTTATGTATGCAACCAAGGATCAAAGGACCTGGTATAGCTGCGCCTATCTTATCTCAGCATACCCGCACTGACTGCTAGAGCGCTCTCAGAATATAAGTTATCAGTCTCTGCTAATTTATGATACTGTACAGAGGTTAAAGATAGCACCAAGTTTGTGAGTCCGCTGATTAAGTTTTGTGCTATTTTTTTCTGTATCGCTAGCGAGTCCTATCGACAGAAGCAGAACTTCCAAAATGCCGAATTCCCAAATTTCCCTGAGTCTTTAGTCTCGAACGGTAATATGAGGAAGTGGCGGCTTAGTGAGAAAGAGTGGGGAACAGGGTATGAAGAGAAAAAGAAAAGTATCGTCATTAAGCTCATTTAATCTTAAACAATGTTTTAAACATAAAAATGTCACTTTTCATTCAGGCGCTAAAAGGTCCCACACCAAATGCCCTACGAATAATACACAGATCCAGTCTTGCAGATGCATTTCCTCTAACAGCAGTTGTAATCAGCGAAACGATATCATCTGACCTAAATTTTTTAGAAAACAGCAACGGCTGGCCTTCAGAAAGTCTTAACAGTGGTCATACCCATCACTACATTAGCTCATACCTCCAGCCACAGGTTATTAAAGAAAATGACACATGTATACGAGGTTATGGTCAGCAAAATCTAAAATTCTTCCTTAATGATGGGTTAACAAATGTCGTTTATGTTCATTTGTTTCATCTCTAAAGTGATAAAAGTTCGGTATTTTTGTCTCTAACTCCTTACAGATCTATAATCGTGTAATTGCGGTGCTCCCAAAGAATTTTCTAGAATTTTCGAGAACTTCATTATGCAGTAGTGACAACAAGCAAGAAAAGAGTGACAGGCAACAATCTGGCGCAGTAATGCTTGATGTGTGCATGCATCTTGGCAACAGCACTAACATCGGATCCCCAGACCAGCTCTCCAGGAGGTCTTGGTATTCCTGGTAACAATTAACAATTTATTAGAAGTGAAAATTACAAGTGAGCAGTACATATTCAAAGAAAAGTTGCACCGTATATGTGACACTGATGGGCTTGTTTTTAACTTGCTTGAATGTGCCACTCCTGGAGACAGCAGCTTGCGTGTCATTTGGAAATTTAGCATCTTGCAGTTGATTTTTTGCTTTTTTTTGGCTTTTGCTTTTTGCTCCCCTGAATACAGTTATAT